ACCAAATTTACCAAATTTACCAATTGTAAACACATCCACTAGTTCGAATATTTTTACTACTGTACCCACTACAGTTCAAGAAATAAACTTTCTTCACCGTTATGACTTTGCCAATGATTTTGCCAATGAATTATCTGAATATGAATTATCAGAATTAAATACAGTATTTGCACAAGAGCAAACGCTTTTAAATGTAAATGAATCGAATTTACAATTTTTAAATAATTCATTCCATAATGAAAATGGCATTACAACTTCGTTTTCAATAAATCAAACAATCGCAAACACACCGTTTATTCAAACTAATGGTTATGACATGATGCACCATAATATTGACGAAATTGGCACAAATATTATTAATGATAATGCGAATTATGAATTTTTTGGTTTTTATTGCAATGATACAACGTCATATAGTTACGCGTAAAATTTAACAATTCGTGAAACATTCGGCAAATTTGGCTATTGGGGGCTGGCTAATCAGTATATATGTAAACAATTAGAACATTATTATGCAATAATCCGAGTAGTTTATATTACTATATCTATATTATGTATTAAGATTTTTATTTGTACATAGGCTTTTCTTTTCTCGTGTTATTTTTAAGATTTTTAAGGTTTATGTAAGATTTAAAGAGTATTTGAAGATAGATAATCTAGTTTGTAAAATATGTTATCAAAATTAATAAAGTGGTCTTGAAATATATTAAAATATATTAAAGTATATTAAAGTATATTAATATATACTGTAATATTATATAATATTATATAACTATGATTATGAATTTCCATTACTCTTAACACAATTAATATCAAAAATCATGTGATCTAAATTGATTAGTAGATTTATTGATAAGCTTATGTAGTAGTCTTTGGAATAACAAGCATCTACAAATGCTTATTGTATGCATAGTTCTTTCTTTTGTAATTGCCGATTTAAATTACACAATATACAAAGTGAACATGAGTTGTCTATGCATATTCACCTGATCATACAAGAAATCTCATGATTTTTTAGCCAAACCAATTGTGTGGATTGCTATATGAAAGGAATGAGATCACTATGCGTTTTCTGAAACAAATTTATATTCAACTGATAAAAATGTGTGCATATAACATTTCGGATTATGTATTTGTATTACTTTTATCTAAATTCCGATATTACTAATTAGTGCTCCTACGGACCAGACCCGAACCAGACCCGAACCAGACTTTAGTCAAGTCTGAGTCTGGTCTGATTTTCAGACCGGACCCAGACTTTTATATTCAGACTTTTTAGTCAAGTCTGAGTTTGGTCTGGGTCTGGTCTGAAGTCTGCAGACTGGTCTGAGTTCGAATATATTTAGCTATGACTAAGGATGGCAAGTATTTTAAAACACAATGTTTTAAATCAGTTTTATATTGTTCTAAAAAGTTGTTTATTGT